ATGGATGCAGATAAGGAAGTACATTCTGTGTCAGTGATTTGGAAAAGTTAGAGATAGGATTATGCATGGTTTTGTAAGAAATAAGGTCAGCAATTATATCCATCTTGCTGAAACAGAAGACATAGGTAAGGAAAGAAATGGAGAATGTTTTTTACCTTTTCCCATACATCTTCATTTTTTTCCCAAAGAACATTTTTCTTCCAAGAGTCCAAGAGTTTTTAGTGACTTTTTTTTTTACTGGTGATGTGACTGAGCCAAAACTTGTTCTATGAAAAATGTTAAATTCTCATCAAATAAAGATCCATGTGATGAGCCAGCTGGCACCGTCAGATCATATTTGCTCATTAAAAGAAACACAAAACTAAGACTGTCAACTTGAAAGGGAGGATTTTGAGGGGAGATATATCCTTGTCACTCAAGCATTATAAGGACATGAAGAGATAAACATAAAAACAAGTTACTGAAGTTTCACAAAATGCAGTGTACCTAAGGAGATCATTGAATATATTTGATAAGCATCTGATTTGATCTCTGCAAAATCCATCCTCATCTTCAGAACTTCCCATGGAACACGAACCCAAAAGTAAAGCAGAAGCTCATTTTTGGTGACTGTGTTTCTTTCAGCAACCAGCTTTGTTCCAAAAAGAATCTAATGGTTTCTAGGGATCAGTCACTGAATGTACATAAACAGTGATTTTTAACAAACTTATGTGGTTTGGGAATGCAGGCAGTATTTCTCCTGCTCACCTTTTCAACCTTGGGAATCCTGCCAAGACTTTTCTAGAAATTAGGGTAATATATGTGTTCCTTTTAGAACTTTCTTACTAATTCGGAGATTGGTTAAAGGGTAGAAAAAAATAGACTGTAAAGAAAAGATAAGAAATGTTGGCTCAATAATGATCTTCAAAAATAGTGAGATTATTGACCACGTACTGTGGCTCATGCCTGTAATCCCAGCACTTTGGGAGGCTAAGGCAGGTGGATCACTTGAGACCAGGAGTTTGAGACCAACCTGGCCAATATGACAAAACCCTGTCTCTATTAAAAATACAAAACAAATCAGCCAGGCATGGTGGCACATGCCTGTAATCTCAGCTACTTGGGAGGCTGAGTCACAAGAATCATTTGAACCCAGTGGGCAGAGGTTGCAGTGAGTCGAGATCATGCCACTGCACTCCAGCCTGGGTGACAGAGTGAGACTCTGTCTTAAACACACACACACACGGAGTGAGATTATTAACATGGAAAATGCAAACTAAGTTATTCCTCTACATTTGACTTTCAGAAAAGTTTGTTAGAGATGCTATTATATCTGAAGTTTAGGTTAATAAGAAAATCCTAGAAGTGGTTGAATGCTTAGATTATTACACAGATTTTGTTTTTTTTTACTTAATTAGATAGCTGTGTGGTTATCAGCATGTGTAACTTTGCCTGGAAACAATAGGCAGATGAGGGCCTGGTTTTCACACTGTGCTTCACAGCACCCTTGAGTTCCTCCAAAGGCCTCTGAGGCCAAGGTGAGGGTGGGGAGCGTGCCCTTCAGCCCTGTGTCAACCACAGCATTTCCCTGTTTTAAATACTGTTCTCCAGTGTGAGCTCTCATTTTAAGAACTCATTCTGAGGCTAAAAGAAAGTCTCTGAAAATCGCTGGACTGGGAAATCCCTGGTGGTTTTTCCTAGATATGGCATCCTATAATCAGGAAAAGAAAAAAGTAGTATCTTGGGAAAATACCGAGCTGTGAAATACTTGACTTTTGGAAAGTCTGTCTGCTCATATAAGTAGGTATCAGATGCCCTTGCTAGGAGGGTTTCAGCGCAGCTTGTGATGCTGAAGTGACATAAGAATGTCCTCTTCTCCACAGGGCCCTTGCATTGGTAATCAGCAGAGCCTGGCTCACAGCAGGCTGTGGGACGCTGTGGTTGGCTTCCTCCATGTCTTTGCTAATATGCAGATGAAACTGTCTCAGGTACTGTGGCCCATTCCCTGCACGTGTCATTGTTGTGAAATGCTAAGTCGGTCCTCACTCCTTGGTGTTCCCATTGTGATGTGGCTGTTTGATCAAAGGCTGGACAAGTCATGCATATTAGGTCTCAGTTTTTTAAACTGAAGGCCAAAATGGGAGACAGAAACGGATGCCTCCCGGGGGTCCCAGACAGGCTTTTGCATGAACGCAGCTTCCTTCTTTGTATCTCACCAACCTACCCTTTTTGTGATTGCCTCAACGTTTGCTTTCTATGGTGCTAATCCTTTCTGCTTCCTTGTCACTGTTTTGTCAACTTATGAACACTCCCTACCAGCCCCATGCGTCCATCTGTCCCATGTTGCATGTCTCTGTAATCCACATCCCTCTTCTCTCTCACCCCTGCTTCCTTCCTCCCTCCCTCCCTGTCTCTGCCTCTCCTTCTCACTCCCCATCTCTCTGGCAAGATGAATCAGAACCGCTCAGAGCATTTATTATGAACAAATAAATGTAGCATATGTAGCAGTTTATTGCCTCTCTCCATGGCAACACCTGAGGGAGGCCTTCAGGAGGTATTTGAGGCTGATTAGAGTAACATTTGCAGCTTTAACTTTTAAATCATGTGTATCTGAAATTTTCAAGGCTGTCACATCTGCCTCCTCTCTTCTGGAATGTGCTATTTAACCTTTCATTTTTCCCCTTTTGACTCTGGCCTTATGGGAGGAGAGAGTTCCTGGGAGGGCTGCCAATTTGACAGTAAGATGTCCATTCCTATGTCAGCTGGGCAGTGTGGTGCAGTCTCGAGGCGAGAGCCCTGGCCCTGCCACCTCCTCAGCAGTGACTTTTGGAAAGCCACTTTCCCTCTCTGGTTTTGGTTTCATCATCTCTAAAATATTCAGAGTTAGAATAAGTGATCTCTGAGGTTTCTTCCCAGCTCTGATATCCTACACTTCTGTGATATTTTGTACGTAGCTGTGGTACACACCATAGGTGATGAAGATTCCTTTGAAAGTTGAAGGGCTAGGCAAAGAGTTATGGTTGGGTTTTTGGTTTTGGGGTTTTTATTTTTTTCCTTTTTTCTTTTCTTTTCTTTTTTTTTTTTCTTTTTTGAGGGGGGTCTGTAAAAGGTATGTGACTCAGAATACATTTGTAATTGAATCTCCAGATTGCCCACCTCAGATCTTCCAAGAATTGTTTTCTGCTGTGACGTAGGGTATAAAAGCATGGAGTTAGCTTAGCAACGCTCTTCCTGCATTGCTGAAATTAAAACCAAACAGACTAGTATCAAAACCATCCAGAGGAATAGCCTCCATTTTATTGCATTAAAGGGACAAGTGGCACCCAGATCACCACCACCTAGAATTAGGAGACTCTAAATTAATCCAGAAAGAAAGGAGAACCCACTTGGTGATTATAACCTTGACACCTTTACCAGATGTCCAGTGTTCCCATAAAGCTCACTGGTAATTCTCCAGTGTAGAAAATGACAGCATAAGCTACCAGAGATACCTGAAGGCTCTTTGGTGCGTTGGGTTGTTCAGTAGTTTTGGACAACACTTGGTGTATCTGCCACACTGTACTAACGAAAGGAAAAAGGTCAAGGAGCTTTGTTGGGTGAGTCCTGCTACAGTGAGTCTCCCGGTGCTGCAAACAGTGGACGAGAAGGTATCCTCATTGAGAATGAGAAGGACGCTCTTTCCTGACACTGATGCAGCCTGCACCTAACCTTTCCAGAGCAGGCTCTTCTTGCTCACTGCCCTGTACTTTACCGAGGGATCAGATAGCTCAGGGGTATCTCCTGTTTCTGTTCTAGGATTCCAGTCAGATCGAGCTGCTGAAGGAACTCTTGGATCTCCTTCAGGACATGGTGGTGATGCTTCTGTCCCTCCTGGAAGGTTGGGCTGTTTGGTATAACTAGGCCTTCACACAACTGTAACTGGTCTGAGCACTAACCTTACTGATCATGCAGATTATCCTTCTGGCAGGTCACTTGATGCCATATGACATTGGTCAGAAAGCCAAATTTTCAGAAACAAAAAATAAAATGAGGGGCACCTGGTCTGATGGACGAAGCCTGAAATCAATTGATTTTCTATCAGTAGGAAAGCCAGAATGAACTGGGGAAAACCTCCAAGCTTTGCTCTTCCCTATCCTCTCCCTCTCCCCATTGCTTTTCAACACATCTGGCTGCCAGTGTGTATGCCAGCCATCTAGTTGGGCACCCTCCTAGGTCTAAGGGGATCAGAGGGACACCATGTATCCCTATGTGTCCCCGATAATCTGATAATGAAACCACTTCCCAGGCCCCAAGCCATGTTAAAGGCAGTGGTATGGCCACCTCCTTCTTCCCTTTGTTTCTTTCCCCCTTGGCTCCTAGTGGTGTAGTCTTTATGGCTTGCTGCTCCCTCCTACATCATCACGGTCAGAGAAGAGCTGACTAATTGGGCACAAAAGTCTTCTAAAACTAGCTACCTGACAATTTACATGATGGCTTGGGTTTATTTATATATTTGTATGTCTTTTTGAACCTGCCTCACAGGGAATGTGGTAAATGGCACCATTGGCAAGCAGATGGTTGACACACTGGTAGAATCATCTACCAATGTAGAAATGATCTTGAAATTCTTTGACATGTTCTTGAAACTTAAAGACTTAACCAGCTCAGACACCTTCAAAGAATACGACCCAGATGGTAAAGGAATTATCTCCAAAAGAGAATTCCAGAAGGCCATGGAAGGGCAAAAACAGTACACGCAGTCAGAGATTGACTTTCTCCTTTCGTGTGCAGAAGCTGATGAGAATGACATGTTTAATTACATTGATTTTGTAGACCGGTTCCATGAGCCGGCCAAGGACATAGGGTTTAATGTGGCTGTGTTATTGACAAATCTTTCTGAACACATGCCAAACGATTCCCGGCTGAAGTGTCTGTTGGACCCAGCAGAAAGTGTGCTAAATTACTTCGAACCCTACCTAGGACGCATCGAGATCATGGGTGGGGCCAAGAAAATTGAGCGTGTTTATTTTGAAATCAGTGAGTCCAGTCGCACTCAGTGGGAGAAGCCCCAGGTGAAGGAATCTAAGCGACAGTTCATTTTTGATGTTGTCAACGAAGGTGGGGAGCAGGAAAAGATGGAGCTGTTTGTGAACTTCTGTGAGGACACCATCTTTGAAATGCAGTTAGCATCTCAGATCTCTGAATCCGATTCAGCGGACAGGCCAGAAGAGGAGGAAGAAGATGAAGATTCTTCTTACGTGTTAGAAATTGCGGGTGAAGAGGAGGAAGACGGGTCTTTCGAGCCGGCCTCTGCATTTGCAATGGCCTGTGCCTCTGTGAAGAGGAACGTCGCCGACTTTCTGAAGAGGGCAACCCTGAAGAACTTCAGGAAGCAGTACAGGAACGTGAAAAAGATGACTGCGAAGGAGCTGGTGAAGGTGCTCTGCTCCTTTTTCTGGATGCTGTTCCTGGGGCTGTTCCAGATGCTCTTCACCATCCTGGGAGGAATCTTTCAGATCCTCTGGAGCACAGTGTTCGGAGGGGGCCTGGTAGAAGGGGCAAAGAACATCAGAGTGACCAAGATCCTGGGTGACATGCCTGACCCAACCCAATTTGGTATCCATGATGACACTATGGAGGCTGAGAGGGCAGAGGTGATGGAGCCAGGTATCACCACTGAACTAGTACACTTCATAAAGGGGGAGAAGGGAGATACAGATATCATGTCAGACCTCTTTGGACTCCACCCAAAGAAAGAGGGCAGCTTAAAGCATGGGCCTGAAGTGGGTTTGGGTGACCTCTCAGAAATTATTGGCAAGGATGAACCCCCTACGTTAGAGAGTACTGTACAGAAGAAGAGGAAAGCTCAGGTAAGTGTCATCTGTTTCTTTCATCTTCCTTTATCCCCAGCATAAGACTTGTCACCATATCTTGTCATCGGTACTGACACCATTTCCCCAGGAGCCAACACTCTATTAGACAGTGGTTGTGGTGTGATTATGCTGATCTTATAATTCCACCTCTGACATGTCTGCAGAAATCAAGACTTAGATGGTTATCTCAGTGTCTAATCATTGGTTGGTCTTCTAGTTTACATTGTAGAATTCAAACGTGATGGCCTGTAACACTTTGCCTCAGACTTTTATTAGAAGGCTAGTTCTCATGCTGTGCAGATGCATTCAGTGAACTGAAAGCATAGAAAATGAAGAATAACATAAAAGGAGACCTTCCTTTTGAGACCGTGCTTTCTCAGTGTCATAAAAGGTCAAATGATCTCTTATGATTTGGCCTCTCAATGAGTTTGATCATGCTTGGGACATTTTTATCCTTGCAATACACTCACTATTCAGTTAGTACGTCATGTCAGTCAACAAGATTAAGTGAACAAGATAGCAGAAATTCAGAGCCCCTTGACCATGGAAGGTTCCGGGTGTTCCCCTCTATTGTAGTATCCCATTCACAGTGTCACTCTAGCATCAGAGAGAGTAGAGAAATGTGAAAAGATCCAAGCCCAAAAACATTCATTCACTCATTCATTCCATTCTTATTTATTGAAAAGTTAATGTGCATTTGTCACTGTTTTAGGCTCTGGGAATATGGTGGTCAATAAGAAACACACTGTCCCTACAGTTTAGTGGTGAATAAAGGCATTGGAAAAGTCAAGACAAGTATAAAGAATGCTAGGAAGGAGAAATGTCAGGTACTATAGTTCTCTGTAGGAGAGAATGCTGGTTTGAAGATTCAGGGAAGAAAACATCAGAATCAGCATTCCTACAATATTATTCTGTTTTGCTCCCTGATGTAGCCCCATAAACCTAGAACACAGTTTGATACATAACAGGGTCCCATTCCAGGACTGCTATGTGCCAGCCTGTGTTCTAGGATAGGGGAATACATAGGTTTAAAGCAGAAACAACATTCTTGCTTTCATGAATCTTAACTTCTAGTGGGAGAAGACAACAAATAAGATCATTATTATTTGTGCTGCGTGTTAGAACACGTGAACATGCAATGAGTTACACAGCTAATATAGGCCCATCAGAAACAGGTAGAGGAGGTGTCGGAAAAGGTGTCATCTGAGTCAAGTCCTGACAGGCAGCAGACACATGAAAAGCTGGGGCAGGCATACTCCAGGCAGAGGATATGGTTAAGTATCCTCTGGAAGTACGCCTGGAAGGATCGGGAATGTTCCAGGAGGTCTGCGTGTTTGGGTGTGGGACACGAGTCAAATGGTACAAGAAGGGGATGAAGAGAAACACCAGGATCATGCAAGACTTACAGGCTGTGTTGAGGCGCTTGAATTTTACTCCAACTGCAGTGGTCCTCAGCCAGGGGATTGAGATACTGGCAAGAGGATTAAAGACAAGGCAAGAAGCAGCCTATCAGATGGAGGCAGGCTGATCAAACTTGGTTTGATCTGTGTCCCATCTCTTTCTGACCCCATGGATCAGTAGAACCACTGTCATGAGGCTCTCACAATGTCCTAACACAAGTTTCCTCTTTGAATTGAGTAAGTAAGAGAAGGGAGGTTGAGTTTTGAAGTTTCAAATCTTTGTCTTGGCATCTCTTCAGAGTCACTTGATATATATAGCAGGACACTTACGTTCAGTGATCCTGAGAGAAGCAGAAACATGAAAAGGAAAAGCCATTGAAATTTGTGACCAAGAAGCAAATGGCCAAGAAAATGTCTCATCATCATGACCTCAGTTCTTTGAGGAAAGCTTGACTGATTGTTGTTTTTGTCTAGGCAGCAGAGATGAAAGCAGCAAATGAAGCAGAAGGAAAAGTAGAATCCGAGAAGGCAGAGTAAGTTCTTGGTAGCATCAACTACTCTAACTGCTATGGTAGATAGTTCTTAGGCCAGGCAGAGTGGCTTACACCTGTAATCCCAGCACTTTGAGAGGCTGAGGCTGGAGGATCACTTGAACCCAGGACTTTGAGACCAGCTTAGGCATCATAATGAGACCCCATCTCTACAAAAAATACAAAAACTGCTGGGCATGGTGGTGTGCACCTGTAGTCCCAGCTACTTGGGAGGCTGAGTGGGGAGGATTGCTTGAGCCCAAGAGATCGAGGCTGCAGTGAACCAAGATCACATCACTGCACTCCAAGCTGGGCAACAGAGCAAGACCCTGTCTCAAAAACAAAAAAAAAAAAAAAAGGAAAAAAGAAAATAAGGATAGTTATTGATAGCATCTGATATTCTGTTGCTATAGTGAATAGAAAACTTGATTTCTATCAATGCAAGCAATTATTCTGCAAGCCCTGGGTATATTTTCTTTTACCCTAGCTATATAAAAAATACATTATATTCATCTTGCCAAGTTTATAATCCCACTAGCAGATCAGAGTTTCACTCTCTGGCTAGATGACTTTGCAACTTCATATATTGACGACAATGATATCTAATGTTTATTAAATACCTATTATTTGTCAGGTCTGTGCTCAGGTCTTTTATACAGTATCTTATTAAATCTTGCCAGAAGCTTAGAAGAGTAGGTACTATTGCTTAGAAAATAAAGGGTAACTTCAGAAGGGGAAAAAAATTGTTAAGTCTAATTTCAGAAGAGTACAAACTTGTATATAGCTGATGTACACCAAGATCATGGTTCATCCAAGTGGTCGCCACTCATTAAATATAAATTTAATGTCCAGCCACTGTGGGTTGATAGAGACCTGAAGTTTCCACCCTCAAGGAATGATTCCACCTCCTGCCCCCTCAACCCAGATTTCTCTTTAATCTCGTCTCCTGTTTTGGGCCAGACCGCCCTCCCTTCTGCCCTGCTGAGTGGGTTTCCCATTTCTGCAGCATGGAAGATGGAGAGAAGGAAGACAAAGCCAAAGAAGAGGAGCAAGCCGAGTACCTGTGGACAGAAGTGACAAAAAAGAAGAAGCGGCGGTGTGGTCAGAAGGCTGAGAAGCCGGAAGCTTTCACAGCCAATTTCTTTAAAGGGCTGGACATCTATCAGACCAAGTTACTGGTAAGTGCTCCAGCCTTGGCCCTGTCCACGGTACAGGCATGGGCCCAGGCAGATGGCAGAGAGGTGTCGCTGATTTGTTTCACTGCTTGGTCAGTGACACTTCCTTCCCTTTCTCATTCCTACACTTTCTTCTTCCCATGCCTCTACCTGTTCCTTTTCTGTTGGAGGAAAAGGGGGAGAGCCTGGAAAGAACCACAGTCCTCCAACAGCTCTGCTATCAGCAGGGTGTCCTCTGTCACTTGTTTCCTTACCAGGAGAGCAGGAACACCTCTTTCTACCTAGTCCTTTATGTCTATTATGTGGGGACGTAGCTGATCCTGGTCCAAAAGCTCAGAAGTGGTTTGATCATGTGGGAATCAGAAGGAATGTTCCTGTTATGTTAGCTTCCCACACTAGTCCTCCAAACCTTGACTGTTCTATAGGCAATCAGACCTTAGAACGGCTTGTAATATTCTTTCTCTGATACACTGCCCCCTGAGGTATAGTGGCTGAAGGCCAGGACCACACCTTCCCTAGCACCACTGGTGAGGGCTCCCCACAGACACATTGGGAACTTCACCCAGGCAGCTTCCGCTCCAGTCTGTGGATGCCGATTTTTCTGGGGAACAGGGCAGCGAGAATGGGAATGTTGCTTCCAACAAGGGAGGAGACGAGGCTCCTGGAACCGGAACTCGGAAAGGAATGAGGACACATTGCTGCCTGAGGCCACAGAATGGCCACATCCAGGCTGGGAGTTGCCAGGGTCTTCTGCGAGCCTAGATTACTTATAATTTCCTAACAGACTGCTTGCTGTGAATACGCATACACACAGCACTTCAAGGCCAGGCTCGAGTCCTCTGCTGGTGGCGTGTTTAGGCCTTTGGCTCCCTGAGCAATAAGCCAGAGCAGGATTCTTTATAGCAATTCTAAAGCAATTTTTTTTTAAATCAACATTTTGGTTCCATATTCATGACATGACACAGTCATGCCATGGCTGTGTTAAGAATGCCAAGGTTGGCCCGGTGCAGTGGCTCATGCCTGTAATCCCAGCACTTTGGGAGGCCAAGATGGGTGGTTCATGAGGTCAGGAGATCGAGACCATCCTGGCTAACATGGTGAAACCCTGTCTCTAGTAAAAATACAAAAAAATTAGCCGAGTGTGTTGGTGGGTGCCTGTAGTCCCAGCTACTTGGGAGGCTGAGGCAGGAGAATGGCGTGAACCCGGGAGGCAGAGCTTGCAGTGAGTCAAGATTGTGCCACTGCACTCCAGCCTGGGGGACAGAGGGAGACTCCATCTCAAAAAAAAAAAAAAAAAAAAGAATGCCAGGGTTGCCCTAGAAGAGTGGTCATCCAAGAGAAGGACGAGTCATGTGTGAACTTCTAACGAGAATTGACCTTCTGTGTAAAAGTAGGAAGTTCTCTTTTCCTTCCAAAGCTCTTCTACTTCTGCCTGTCCTTTTCTTTGCAGCATTACCTGGCCAGGAATTTCTACAACCTGAGGTTCCTTGCTCTGTTTGTAGCCTTCGCTATCAACTTCATCCTGCTTTTTTATAAGGTGATACTTCATTCAGGGGTTATTTGCTAAATATGCTGTATACTAAGTATACTATGTGTAGAAAAAGAATCATGACAGAACTTGTGTTCTTAATTGTAGCAAACATTCTAATAGGTAGCAAATTTCTAAGACATTGGCTTCTAAAAGGAATACAGTTTCTAGCAGTGGAGAGACTACTGACAAGGGAGCCAGTTAGGGACTATTTCAATCCTTCATGCTTATTTTAGTTGTTACTTGAATTTAGTCTTCAAATACTTGCTGAGCATCTACCATGAGCTAGACCCTATATTAGGAACCACAAGGTATTTCAAAATGAATAATAAACACAATTCATTCTTTCTTCAAGGAATAAGGTAACCAAGAGGCATTATAGCTAGCCTATTTGTTAGAAGCGTCATAAAGGAAAAATTCACAGGATTTGGAAAGAGAGGGGACTGCTCAAGTTAAATGAAGGTTTTGAACATTGGCAAGTGGGTCTTGCATGCTGTAGGCATGTAATAATTATTAGTGCAATGAATTAATGAAGGGTGCTGAATTCTCAACATAGTCTTTAACTGGCTTTTCTATCTCTTGCCTATCTCCCTTTCTACTTAAAACCACCAATCTAATTTGTATGAAACATTGTTTTATCCACCTCGACTTTCCACTCGACAAACTAATGACCTTCTGTTGCCCATACAAGAAAAATGGAAGTCTATAGCCAAGAGAGGCAAAGCTTGGTTTTAAACACGTTGAGGTTGAGGTGACTTCAGACAGACAGCCAAGGAGAGAAAGCCAGCAAGCAGTTGGAGCTACAGGACAAAGCCTCAGAGACGTAGATTTGAGAGTCACATGTGTAAGAATAGCAGCTGAAGCCATGAATGTAAATGGCATCTCAGAAAGAATGGAAAATACTGAGTCTGGCTGGGTGGCAGTGGTGGGTGGGGCAGCGGGCACACACATGCTTCTGTGCGTGTGTGTCTCAGCCTCCTCTCAGGCCACAGCATGATCAGAGTATTTCCTTCTGTGGCACAAGGATTATAAGCATATGTAGTAAAAGTTTCCTAATTTTAATTTTTTTGCTTTCTTTTCAAGAGATAGGTTTTTGTCTCCTTTTTAAACGTTTATTTGCAATTATTAGAGATACTGGGTGATTCCTAGTCATAACTTACCTAAAAACCTCATTCATTCAGCGAGTAATGTTGAGTCACTACTATTTGTACAGCATATGCTAACCATATAAAATATTTGAGGAGCGCCCAATGGCTGAGGTTCTTTTGATGTTTAATAAGTAAGTGTGTGTTTTGGGCCAGGTCACTGAAGAACCTTTAGAAGAAGAGACAGAGGATGTTGCAAACCTATGGAATTCATTTAATGACGAGGAAGAGGAAGAAGCGATGGTGTTCTTTGTCCTTCAGGAGAGCACTGGGTATATGGCACCAACGCTGCGGGCCCTGGCCATCATCCACACCATCATCTCTCTAGTCTGTGTGGTGGGCTACTACTGCCTGAAGGTGAGCTGTTGGCCACTCTGGATCTAATCTGACTCTGAGGAAGAAGTGTCCTTTCTGAGCCCAGCCAGCCCTTTGCTCGAAGACTTTGCTATTTGTAAAGGTCTTTGTAAGTTCCGTGGAGTAGCAGCAGTGCATCACCTGGGAGCTGCCTAGACCTGCAGAGTCTCAGGCCTCATCCCAGGTCTTTTTTTTTTTGAGATGGAGTTTCGCTCTTGTCTCCTAGGCTGGAGTACAGTGACACAATCTCGGCTCACTGCAACCTCCGCCTCCCAGGTTCAAGCAATTCTCCTGTCTCACCCTCCCAAGTAGCTGGGATTACAGGTGTCTGCCACCACGCCCAGCTAACTTTTGTATTTTTTAGTAGAGACAGGGTTTCACCATGTTGGCCAGGCTGGTCCTGAACTCCTGACCTCAGGTAATCCACCTGCCTCGGCCTCCCAAAGTGCTAGGACTACAGGCGTGAGCCACTGCGCCCAGCCCCCAAGTCTTTTAACTCAGAATCTACCACTTAGCATGATCACTGGGCAATTTGTACGCACTTTCAAGTTCAAGAAGCCTTGCGCTAGGAGTCCCATTTCAGATACCTCTTGTTGAATTTCATAGAACTAGAGTCATCAGGCTAAGTCACATGAGAGCTAGTTATGAGAGAGTCTTCTGATCTTTGAATTGATGTCAAAATTTTTATAAAAATACCTTTTCATTAGGCGGTAACCAAGATCTCAGAAGAAAGCTTACTGATGTGTTAGTTTTCAGTTATCTGTTGCTGCATAACAAACCACTCTAAAACTTAGTGGTCTAAAATGACAACTGTTTACCTCTCTGATTCTGTGAGATGACTGGCACATTTGGGCAGTTCCTCTGCTGTATGTAAAGGGGGTACATTTGCAGCCATTTGTGAGCTCAGCTGGGCTGGAATGGCCAAGATGGCACATTCCCATTCCTTGGCAGCTCCATGGGGGGACAACTGGAAGGATGGGCTCAGCTGGGGTAGCTGGGCCGCTCTCTCGCTCCCTCTTTCTCTCCGTGTAGATTCAGAGCATCTCCTTCTCCATGTGGCCTTTCCACATGCTCTGTCCAGTGGGGTAGCTAGACTTCTTGCATGATGGCTTGGGTTTCCAAAAAGAGCATGGAGGTGGAAGCTGCTAAGCCTTCCTGAGTCTTAGGCCCAGAACTGGCACAGTGTCATTTTCATTGCATTCTGTGGTTTAAGGCAAGTCACGTGGCCATCCCAGATTCACTGATGCATGGTAGAGGGGAGAGGCGCTACACAAAGGCATGAATTCCAGGAGGCATGGTTCCTTGGGGCCATATTCAGAACCACTACAGTTATGTCAATCTCCAGTCATTCAATTTTTGGTGTCCCAAGTCCAGTTCTAGTTCTGCTACATCATAATTGTGTTTTTCTCACTGCTTTTCTCATTACATGTTTTTCTTCCTTCTCTTGAGTAGGAAGTCTCCTTAAATACAGCAAGCCATCTTCTTCCTGGGAAGAGTCCAGGAAATATTTTCCTATATTGTGGTCCTTTGTTCCCCCAGTGAACTGTAGTGTCATGTAGGAAGTCCAGCTACCGTGCTGAAGAGACCTTGTGCCCTGGGCCACACTAAGGACTCCATTGCGACTATGAAAGTGCAAATTCTGGAGCCAGGCTGCCTGGGTTGAACTCATAACTCTGCCACTTAAACTCCCAGTCGTCTATCTTCTCATCCATAAAAATGAGTATTGTTATTTTCCCATCTTTTCTTTTGGTCCTTGAGCATGGGGGAACAAGGTCGTGAAAACAGGGTCTTGGTGAGGTGCTGCCATTTCATCCGTCCTCAGTCTGTGCCTTTCGCAGAGCTTCCAGCAGTGCTATGTTGGGCCAGAGTGTCCGGAGGTTCACAACCTCTGTGGTCTGTAGGAGCCACTCTGAGGAGGGTCCTGGGAAGAATTTGCCATTTTCAGTGGAAAACAAGTGGACGTTACTAGCTAAGATGTGTTTGTACTTTGGATCTGTATTTGCTACACCCTTCCTTCTAGTAAGACACCAACTGCTTAAAACATAAGGATGTTTCAGTTCATCCATTTAACAGATATGAAGAGCATTTTAAGAGATGCAGCCTCTGGAAATGGATCAAACTCTAACTCATATGGCATACTAGATATGTTTATCAATAAACTTATGACATGAATGCTTAATGCCTCTTTTTTGAAATAGGGAATGTAATAATTGGCCATTTGCCTACTTTATTATTTGGGTAACATTCCAGTATTACTCTGTGAGTTAGCTTATTTAATGGTGTTAAACTGAGGTTATATTAAATTTTTGATTCCCAGGTCAGGATTTTATTGGTAATTTATATAATAAAAGGGAAATACAAATTGATCTTTAAAAAATGAGTATTGTTGCTAAAGTTGCTGGGGCGATTAAATGTAGTAGTGTGTGTAAATGTACTCAGAACACGTAGTAAACCCTCAAGCACGTTCGCTGCTGCTCCTTAGTTTGTGATCCTAGAGTTCAGGTTATTAGCTGGAGTACAGATTGTACTGCGACCTGGAGAAAACAAAAAAGAAACACTATTTAGCAAGTAAAGAATGTGGAAGTTCTGTTTACGAGAGTATACAAACTTCTAGAAGATTGAAGGGGAATGTTTGGAATCCCAGAGATGAGCACCCCTCTGCAACTTGATATTGCTGCTGTTCTTCAGAGTCACTCAGAGCACAGCAGGCCTTAGTCGGTCGCTGAGCTTTGCCTCACCTCCCACATCATCTGTGCACTAACAGTCATCATCAGGTCCTCACAGTGTGCAGTGGCTGCTAGCCTTGGCCACCTTCCTATCGTGAGTTTTTCAGGTTATCAGTGTTATTTCATTGTTTTAAAGAAAAACAGGGCAAGAGGTAACTCTTTACAAATCACTATCTGAATTTTGTTCTTTTGTTTTGGACAAAAGCGATGTGGGGTACATGCATATCATGGGTTTGGAGATGAAGGTTTCAAGGATGTTGCCAAGTAGCCAGTGGCATCTCAGCTGAGATGACGAGATGAGATGCCCTAGCTCTGTCTGAATTAAGCTTTTTCTGGCTGGAGGAGCTTTGTCAATTGTGACTTCTCATTTCCTAGGATTTCAGCAATATCCTCTGGCCTCATTAACTGTCCCATGCTTGGAGTGTGTGTGCACTTAGTGATGGCTGGGGCAAGTGGATTATTTTCCAATCCCTTTCTGGGTTCCCCTTTGGCAGTAGGTCCTTATAGCCATATCACTATATCTAGTCTAAAATAAAAGTTCCGATTATAAAAGAATGGAGAGTGATAGTAGGAAACAAGTATGCCACTACCTGGAAGGAGCTCTTTGCGGACAGAATCTCAGGAAGAAAACTTGAATACAGAAAGACTGAATCCTCTCATTCTAACTATGAAACCATGTTTCATGAACTCACCTTCAAAGCCATGAGATAAATATGGCCCTGTACATTGAAGGGAGTTGGAACATTTCATCCTATTCCTGTGGCATCCATCCCGTAGAATGGTTTATTGTCCTTTCTAAATCTTGGTTCACCTCCAGCCGAGGAGTCTTAGGAGTCCTAACTCATTCAGCCCGGGCATGGCCTGCACACTAGCATCGGTCAGGGAGTCTAGTTTGTATGAATATTAGCTATCTAACTGAAAACTTAAAGGGCGACCCAAATTAGACCCAGTTTAAAGAGGTAGGGGTATTTAGCCAAAGAGATTCATTGGGCTTTGATCCCACAACTAGGCACCCTAATAATTCCACTATAAGGAGATTGCTGCTCTGAAGTTGGAAGGTTAATTTGTGACAAAGACCTGGGAGCACATGCTTTAATCACAAAGCCTGCTCTGAGTAACCATTGTCTTCCCACTCGTAGGTGCCTTTGGTGGTATTCAAAAGGGAAAAAGAAATCGCCAGGAAGCTGGAGTTTGATGGCCTATATATCACCGAACAGCCATCTGAAGATGACATCAAGGGGCAATGGGACCGCTTGGTGATCAACACACCGTGAGTGTCCCTCTACCTCAACCTAAAAAGGAGATGGAGTCTCTACTGTAAATAGAGTAACTCTTTCCTCCTGGCCTTAAAACTGGTTAATACAAACTTTCTTTTGGTTTCTGGGACTTTTCTCCCTTGCCTCTTCAATAAAGCCACTTACTGCCTATCAAATACTTGTATAGACTTCTATTAGTTTAACAGGGACAGAAGATATTATCAGAAGGTACTGGTGTATTTGATTTAGACCAGACGACAGTCCAGTACAATATTGCTTAAACTAGTTTTCCATGTTCGAGTCACACAGTGTTTCCAGGCTTAAGTGGCCAAGGAGTCTAGATCAGTTGATCAGTTTCAGCTTTTCCATAGCCTTCCATGGCACAGCACTGCTATAACTGTGCCATCTCTTAAGTCTTCTTCTTTGTTTTTTTTTTCTTGAGACGGAGTCTCCCTCTGTCACCCAGGCCGGAGTGCAGTGGCGCGACCTCAGCTCACTGCAAGCTCCGCCTCCCGGGTTCACGCCATTCTCCTGCCTCAGCCTCCCAAGTAGCTGGGACTACAGGCGCCCGCCACCGCGCCCTGCTAATTTTTTTGTATTTTCAGTAGAGACGGGGTTTCACTGTGTTAGCCAGGATGGTCTCGATCTCCTGACCTGGTGATCCACCCACTTCGGCCTCCCAAAGTGCTGGGATTACAGGCGTGAGCCACCAGGCCTGGCCTGAAGTCTTCTTAACCAAATAGCCTGCTTGGTAAGAGGCCTCCTCTTAACATAAGATTGAGAGGCACTTACATGGGCAGGTAAATAGAGCTGTCTGGTAGGGATGTGAAGACCTGTGGAGGCAAGCCTGCCTTCTCGTAGGCATGCAGCGCTGTGGTGGGAAGAAGGAAGAGCACTGACTGACAGGCAGGCAACACCAAGGCCCTGAAGCTTATTGGTCTGTGAACTTGCACAAGGTAATCAAGCCTTCTCAGCCTTAGTTTCCTCGTCAGTAATAGAGGGATGAGAATATCATCCTGCAGAAGATCAATGAATGTATGTGGCAAATGTTTGGCACATGCCTGGCACGTGGCAGGCATTAAGCTGTCACTCATTCCCTTTCCCCTAACTATCCATAAAAGGGCCATCACCATTAGGAAGTGTCACGCTCCAATGACAGTTGATTCACAAAGTAAGTGATACTTTCAAGATAAACTAATGTGGTAAAAGAAAAGAAATAGGGTCAAATATGTAAACAAAGGTGACTGTGTTGAAACTGAGGTGTGCCAATTAAGCTAGGCATGTTAAGAAACGGCAACCCTGACTCCAGGGGAAGAAAACTGTGTCCTATCCAGAGATGATCAGGCAAACTGAGAAGCAGCTCTGCAAAGGTCCAGCTAAGCGTATTTCTTTATATTCTCCAGAAAAGGAAGGCTCTTCTCTTAGAAGGGGGAAAATGTGAACGGGCACATCCTTACATCCTCAGTCTGTCCCTGCCTGCGGGTCCCCTGCCAATCTTCTCACACAAGGAAAAGCACTGTTTCTGATGCTTTGTCATTACATTACAGAAGTCTTAGACACTATTAAATCCTTTGGTAAGCTTTGTGCAATCATCAGTAATGCTTATGTCTTGTTATACAAGGGGATATGGCCTAAAAGTCCCAGTAAGAAGGCAGTTCAATTTCAGCCGGGCGCAGTGGTTCACACCTGTAATCCCAGCACTTTGGGAGGCCGAGGCGGGTGGATCACAAGGTCAGGAGTTCAAGACCAGCCTGGCCAACATAGTGAAACCCCGTCTCTACTAAAAATACAAAACAAACAGCTGGGCATGGTGGTGGGTGCCTGTAATCCCAGCTACTTGTGAGTCTGAGGCAAGCAGAATCACTTGAATCTGGGAGGTGGAGGTTGCGGTGGGCTGAGATCACACCACTGCACTCCAGCCTGGGCGACAGAGCGAGACTTCGTCTCAAAAAAAAAAAAAGAAGGCAGTTCAACTTCTAGAAATGTATCCTAAGGAGATAATGAGACAAGTATGCTAAAATGTCCCAACAAAGGTATTTGCCAATATTTTTTACTTAGAGTGGCTTAAACGTCCATGAGTAGGAAATGCATAAATAAATAGCTATTTTTTAAAATTTTAGGTAGACCACGGTTTAATTTTTTTCACAATGGCATCATAGTACACGTTCATGTTTTGTAACTTGATTTTTTTCAGTTAACTATATGTCATGGGAGCTTTTTAAAATTTTTACTTTTATATTGTTAAGCACACATAAATAAGAACATATAAAATGTATATGTACATTTTACAGTATAATTATAAACCAAAAAGGTTAAAAAATAGAACATTACTGAGAGATTAAAAATCCCCTGTATTATCCTCCCTGATCATATCTTCCCAACACACAGCTAACTACATTTTTGATGTTCATTAGTGGTTAGTAATATTGATTCTTAAATAATTAGCAATCAGGGATATTAGTGATATTCATTCTCCTGCTTTATAGTTTTCCCACTGAGGTATTTGTCCCTAAATATATTTTGACTCTTTTGACTACTTTGAACTTAATATAAATGGAATTATACTATATACATTATACTGTCACTTGAATTTTTTTAGCATTATGTTTGGAAACTCACCTATGTTGATGTATGTATAAACAGTGCTACAGTGAACATTCTTATACCTGATACACAGTCGAAGAATTTCTCTAGAGTATAGACCCAGGAGAGAAATTTGCCGAATAGTAGGATATGCAAAATGTTTGTTCCAATTTATACTCCAAACAGTACTATATTAGTTTCTACTTCTCCGCTTCTTTGCTGGCACTTATTGGCCAATATTTTTGCTGATCTAGTAGGTGTATAATGGCACCTCGTTGTACATTTTGCTGATTACTAAATGGGTTGAGCATCTGGTACTTCTTCCCTGAACATTCACGTATAGATGTACTCTTTATTTATCTGCTTTCCTTCTGAAGGTCTGGTCTCTATGCCACACTTTAAGGACTAGTAACAAGTAAAAGTCTGTTTTCTACCTTCAAGGAGTTTGCACACCTAGTCAGGGGACAAGAAATGCAGAATGCTGAGATGAAGGTAAGACCGTATCTATGAAAGGGTCATGCCCAGAGCCTGTGGTCCTTGGCCCTTCAGCATCACTTGTGGAATCTTGTGCTTAGAACAAAATACGACCAGGCTGAGTTGTATGTCACAGACCATTTGTATAAATGATTTAAGAGAAAGGCGGTATCAGTGTGGCAGAGAGAGCATGGCTTGATTTTTATTTGTTTTATTTTCCATTTGAATGCAGTGCATAAAATATCAAGTAGCAATGTACAAGGAAGAAAGTCAAAATAATTATTTTCATCCCCCAGAGATAAAATATTAGCAGTTTACTCTGTAACACCAGCATTTGTTTTTGCTTTCAAGTGGCATTTAAATGTTTAAGACAAAGAAACTGCTTTAACAAACCAAAAACAAGCAAAAAAAAAAAAAAAAAAAATCTGCCACCCTGTTGGGGGAGAGGCGGCTTTTGCTGGGGTTATTCTTCTGAGACGTCAGTGAATAGTGGGAGGTCTTCATTTCGTGTTCCAGAACCGAAAAGAATGAATCAAATAAAGGAAAACGACGGTAAGAATGCATGCACCAAAGGCCAGAGGCTCCTAGGCTGCAACCCAGCCTTACAAGGAACTCCCACAGGAAGGATTCAGTAAGTCTGGATAGGAACAACATAGTTGCAATGGTTTTTGCCAACATTCCTGAAGATGACAGTTCTTTCTTAACAATAAGAAATATTTGCAGTGGAGCTGGTACAAGCTACAGACAGAAGAAAGATCATCTCTCTGGGGATGTTAGGGGATGGTACAGAACCACCTCCAAAAAAGAGAGGGAGGGATCCAACTCCTGGAGGAAAGCAGGCCCTGCGGCATTACATGGAAATAGAAAATAGAGTGGAAAAGCCCTCAGTTTAAAAAACCCAATGTAAATAAACTAAAGGTGATTCCCAGACTGGAAACTCCATGAAGTTAGGGACTTTCTACCACATCCCACATCCCGCATCCCCATTATCTACCCCAGAAGCTGACATAAAGTCGTGACTCATTGAATGGAATGCCTGTGTTTTCTGTAGCATTTTGTTTCTGGTTATACTGGGATTAGGGGAAGGATTTAGAAACATGTATCTGTCTCTAATCCGTCATCACAGTTCTTGGCTCCAAATCATAATTCTGAGGCAGAAACTGCCCCGTGGCCTTCTGAGTGTTTCAGAAGCCAATACAAAGTAGTGAAACCAGATGTGACTCAGTAGACCTGTGATGACTCTGAACTTCAATCAGATCTTGAATTCTTTGGTGAGCAGGACACAAATCAAAAAGATCCCAGATCCAGGCACTCACGCTGAAAAGTTTCTGATGTGTTTTCCTTGATGTTAAGAATGAAGAAGCAACCTTTTTTGTTTTCTTTTTCAGATCTTTTCCTAATAACTACTGGGACAAGTTTGTAAAGAGAAAGGTATGTCTTGTTAGTAGGGGTGAGCTCTGTGCTCACAAAAAACTGTGGTTTATGTTTAAGTTCCCCACATACAAACATGAGTAAATGTGATGCTACTTTTATGATGATATCTCAAGAAGAGTAAGTCACAGAAGGGGTTGGATATGAGCATATGTAGGTTTTTGGCTTCATTCATACACTCATCTGCCTTAAACAAGTGAACACGATCCTCATGGTTTTCTGCATAGTAGATGTTGTTTTTTACAGTTATCATTTAATTGTCCTTCATTGCTTTTTTCTCTGGGTTTTCTCTTTTTTCTGCCTTTTGAACTGTGTCTTAATCTGCCCCTTGGAAGACTGCCCACAGGGCAGCAAAGCTCTGAAGAACCCAGAGCTAGAAAATATTTGGTGGTGGCGTGTGGCCTGAGCGCACCCTGTCATCCTTTGCTTCAGGTGATCAACAAGTATGGCGATCTCTACGGAGCAGAGCGCATTGCTGAACTTCTGGGTTTGGACAAAAATGCTCTTGACTTCAGCCCAGTAGAAGAGACCAAAGCAGAGGCGGCTTCTCTGGTGTCATGGTACAGAAGACTTAGGAGTTCAAATCCAAAGCAGCTAAAAGAGATCCTTTGTTTTTCCACTCCTCTTCAGCTGCCTGAGGGAGAAATCACAACCGTGTCTTTGTTCTCTGGGCTCTGGGCTGGCTTAGGTGTTGCCTCTAGGTTCTCACACACTGGGAGAGCACTGCTTTAAACATGTGAAAACCGATACATTTTTGTGCCCTACAGAGCTGAAAGAGAAAGTCTAATTAAAATTTTCAGGTTGGGCTGGCGCAGCGGCTCACACCTGTAATCCCAGCATTTTGGGAGGCTGAGGTGGGCAGATCACGAGGTCAGGAGTTCGAGACCAGCCTGGCCAACGTAGTGAAACCCCTGTCTCTACTAAGAATACAAAAAAAAAAAAAATTAGCCAGGCGTGGTGATGGGCACCTGTAGTCCCAGCTACTTGGGAGGCTGAGGCAAGAGAATCGCTTGAACCTGGGAGGCGGAGGTTGCAGTGAGCCGAAATCACGCCACTACACTCCAGCCTGGGTGACAAAGCGAGACTCCGTCTCAAAAAGAAAAAAGAAAAAAAAATTCAGGCTATGTGATTCAACCATTCTCTTGTGTCATGGGGAACACGTTCAACTTGATAAAGCTGAGAGCCATATTTAGGTTATTAAACCTGGGAGAAGAAAAAACTTACTTTTTCCCCCTTATTAAGCACTTAACTACCTCTTGACATTTCTAAGTTTTAAAATCGCGTGTTCTTCTCTAGGCTAAGTTCCATAGACATGAAGTACCATATCTGGAAGCTTGGAGTTGTGTTTACTGACAACGTAAGTATTGCACCTGGAGAAACAAAATTCTGTACCCCAGGTTCAGGGATGCCACAGAGAAGCAAGCTATGCAGGATGCTCAGAAAGATTCAGGGATTGCTTATCAAAGACCAAGAGCCTTCTACGTGCTGGGGGAACACTTATACAATGGTTTGAGGTAGATGAGGCCCACTTGACAGTTCTTGGGCCAGCTCACAGCACCTCAGCACCTAAACCCCCTCTATCCTCAGTTTGTCCCCCAAAATCAGAAAAAATGGTTTTATGAGCACATTATGAGGCAAAAATGCTTAAAAAGCTGCTTTCTTCCATTCCCAGTCCTTTCTCTACCTTGCCTGGTATACAACCATGTCAGTCCTGGGCCACTACAATAACTTCTTCTTTGCTGCTCACCTGCTGGATATCGCAATGGGCTTCAAGACACTGAGGACCATTCTGTCATCTGTAACTCACAATGGCAAACAGGTACTGGTTTCTACTGATGCAGAACAGAATGAATCCTATATGCATAGGGAAAAGAAACAGGTAGTATACAGTGTATGACAGGAAGGAATGTGTCATGGTGTATAATGTACTTTCCTTGGCCAAACACTTGAACTAATGGTGATTGTTTTTGCAGAATTGTAGCCAATTAAAAATACAGCTGCAACCATCATGTAAAAAGCATAAGACCTTGATTCAGTGACCCCTGATACTTAGATCAACCAGGGGAGGGAGTGAGGTGATGGACACGTCAGAATAACCTTGGAGATCTTTTTTTTCTTTCTTTCTTTTTTTTTTTTTTTTTTTTTTTGAGACAGAGTCTCGCTCTATAGTCCAGGCTGGAGTGCAGTGGTGGGATCTCGGCTCACTGCAACCTCCGCCTCCCAGGTCCCAGTTCAAGCAGTTCTCCTGTCTCAGCCTCCCAAGTAGCTGGGGTTACAGGTACATGCTACCATGCCCAGCTAATTTTTGTATTTTTAGTTTCACCATGTTGGTCAGGCTGGTCTCGAACTCCTGATCTCAGGTGATCCACCTGCCTCGGCCTGTTTACAGGTGTGAGCCACCATGCCCGGCCGGAGATCTTTTTAAGGTCTACCCCTTCCTCCATGAATCTGATATATTCCCTGGGGGTTAGCAAGTAGCCGTACACAGAAAACTCCCCAGGTATTTCTGATATCTGCATCCAATTAAGAACCAATGATTTCAGATACACACATATGTATATGGTTGTTTTATACACAGTATACATTTTATATGGGTGTATATATATATTATATAGTTAATACATATTATATAGCTAATATATAATCAAGGAATTGACTCTGACAATATACAGATTAGATATTGATGAGACTGGATAGAGCAATGGCTATAACCATGTTAAAATCTTCTAATCGCTTCTCCTTGTGTACAAATTCAAACTGTTGAGCGTTTCATTCCTCATTAAGTACAAGTCAAGATGGAAGTTAAAATGTGCCAAGCTCATGCCCTGTCCCAGTTACGGTGACAGTCGCACAACTACCTGCTAAGGTAGATGTTAGGCTCACTTTACAGATAAGAGAACTGAGGCTCAGAGAGGCTAAATGTCTCACCCAAGACCACACAGCTGCTAAGTGGCAGAGCTTAGATTCAACCCCTTTTCTTCCCTGATGCAAAGTTCAAGTTCTTTCTTTTTTCCTAAACCAACTGCTTTCTGCGAGGTCTGCTCTCCGAGGTTTGAGCGACTGTTCCTCCCCCGCGTCTGCTGAATACATTTCCTCTGCTGCTATCTTCACACTTGTGCCCACTCCCTTTTGTGTCGCTCCCTGAAGGCAAAGCTCTGATCATGCTGATATTCGTATCTCCCAGCTCAATGCCTAGTCCTTGGGAGAGGTCAGATGTGCAAGTCCCGTGTACCCCTCACTTAAGCCACTGAGCTCGCGCTCCTAAAGCCTGGAAGTAAGCGAGGCCCTAGGACACCGCAAACGGCCTGGGCAGAATTCTCGGTAATAAAAAGTGTGACTCAGCTCCACCACGGTAATTTTCAGAGTGCCTTCAAAGTTGTGATAATTATCCAGTGCATGATTATTTATGAAATAGTATAAGGTAGGGATACCCAGCAGTCCAAAGAACCTTTGGTTTGTTTTTGTTTTGAGACGGAGTCCCGCTCTGCCACCAGGCTGAAGTGCAGTGTAGCGATCTTGGCTCACTGCAACCTCCGACTCCCGGGTTCAAGTGATTTTCCTGCCTCAGCGTCCCGAGTAGCTGGGATTACAGGCACGCACCACCACACCCAGCTAATTTTTGTATTTTTAGTAGAGATGGGGTGTCGCCATGTTGGCCAGGATGGTCTTGATCTCCTGACCTCATGATCCGACCACCTCAGCCTCCCAAAGTGCTGGGATTAGAGGCGTGAGCCACCGTGCCCGGCCTGGGGTTTTTTAAGAAGCAACATTAGAGTAGAAGCTGCATTGTGAAGCCTCAGGTAAGAGCTAGCTCTGTATGAACAACAAAACACATATACCCCTCATAGCACCTTCACTATTCAATACTTAAGTTCCTTTATATTTTACTTATGCCCAATCTAATACCCTATACGTTAGTCTGTTTGGGCTGCCAGAACGAAGTACTACAGACGGGTATTTTGTTAAACAACAGACATGTCTTTTCCACAGTTCTGGAGGCGGTGAGTCCAGTGTCACAGTGCCAGCAGGGTTGGTCTCCTCGGGGGCCTCCCCGTGGCTGTGGACAGCCACCCTCTCGCTGCTGCTTCCCCTCACTGTCCCTTCACGTGTGCCTGTGTCTAGCCTCGCTGTCTGTGTCCCCAGCTCCTTTTCTTCTAAGGATGCTAGTGAGAGTGGCTGCGGGCCCATCTTAACAGCCTCACTCTTTAACTTACTTACCTCTTCGAAGGCTGTATCTCCGTCTCCAAATACAGTCCCATTCTGAGGTGCTGGAGGCCAGGACTTCTAACACCCCATCATTACTCTTTCTCCCAGTAAGCCCGCTTCTCGTTACCTGTGGTCTCATCTTTCCTCCTCTGCTCATGGCCTGCTGGCTTTCTTAGCCGCCCTCCACCCCTTCCCCATTTCCTCTCCTTGCCGGTCCTCACTGTTCCTCCTTGTTTTCTTAGAGGCTCCTGTGAACCTTTTGAGGTAGAGAAGACCCCACTCCTTTTCCTTTCTCTGTCGTCTCATTCCCAGTTGGTTCTGACGGTCGGTCTCCTGGCCGTGGTGGTGTATCTCTATACTGTGGTGGCTTTCAACTTCTTCCGCAAGTTCTACAACAAAAGCGAAGACGATGACGAGCCTGATATGAAGTGTGACGACATGATGACGGTGAGAGCCCACCCACTGCGGGCCAGCCCACCCCACCCCCTCACTGGGAAGAAGGGCTGCGTGGGGGTGCTCTGGAGAACTAAGTGAGAGCTGTAGAGTTAGTTACAGATCACAGCGGAGATTAGAGTAGAAGACAGATGTCTCCTCCGAACAGGAGTGTCCTGGGAAGACAGAGGTGATGGAGGTAGGTTTCATTACCACACATCTGAGCCCCGTGGAAAGGGAAGCACCTTGCACAGTGGGGTCATCATTCATCTGTTTTTTTTTCTGGGGTAAAGATGAGACATTATTTTTTGAGACAGAGTTTCGCTCTTGTTGCCCAGGCTGGACTGCAGTGGCGCCATCTCGGCTCATCACAACCTCCGCCTCCCGGGTTCAAGCAATTCTCCTGCCTCAGCCTCCCTTGTAGCTGGGACTACAGGCATGCGCCACCATGCTTGGCTAATTTTGTATTTTTTAGTAGAGACGGGGTTTCTCCATGTTGGGCAGGCTGGTCTCGAACTCGCAACCTCAGGTGATCTGCCCACCTCGGCCTCCCAAAGTGCTGGGAGCACAGGCGTGAGCCACCGTGCCTGGCCAAGATGAGACATTATGATGAATGAAACCTGTGTCTAAATTTCATGGGAGTCGAGCTTTGATCGTTGTCTCAGAACCGAGAGCAAAGTCCCATGGGCCGGGATTGAGCACTTCATTTCTTTCAGCAAGCCAGTCAGGGGTTCCTTCCGGACAGCCACCATTGGCTGAAGAACACGACAGCAGCAGGAGGAGGTTTGGAGTGGGGAGGGGGAGTCCTGTCAGGCCAGAGCTTCGTGAGAAAAAAGGCACCGCCCAGAGTAAGCCAGCTTGGCTGCAGCAGCATCTCCAGTTTATTTTGACCAGATTTCAGAAAAAGAACATGTGTCTCAGGGACAGGGGACAGTGAACTGCCCAGTCTGTGAGCATCTCTGTGAAAGAGGCGATGCTTCTTGACGAAAACCTCTCCACGTGCTTTCTTGGGCCAAGCACCGTCATGAGACAGCAGCACCAGCCCCTAGAGTACTAGTATGACCAGCAGGTCTTCAGGCTGCCCCTGGCTTTTGCTTTTCCAGGTTTAAGACAATCCTTTCTCTGTGCGTCTAACCCATCCCATCAGGTGGAGAGAAGAGGCTGCCCTGCTCAGTGGGCCTGGACCTAGATTGGCTCAAACCTGCAGAGCAGGAGGAGCAGAAAGGTCTGTTATATTTGACCTTCCTCCTGCCGAAACCCCTGCCCCACCAGGTGTAAGGGGAACACAGAAGAAGAAGAGGGCGCCTATTGTGCAGTTTAAGGCACAGCCTGAAGGCCAGGCTAACAGTCTTAATGAGGAAAAATTAGTATCTGGCATAGGCGATGCACATCAAGGCTAAAAGATCTTTTAACTTACATCCACCTTAAATGAATTCTGTTCTATCAAATAGTTCAAAACTGTTTTCTTTTTAATGGGCCTACAAAGTACCTTTTAAAAGCCTAAATGTAACAACAGGCTTTCCATCTTTGTAGATGTCAGACTGTCCAGAGGGTGTAGTGGACAGCAGCTAGCAGCAGGAATACTGGTACCTGTGAAGAGTTCCCCTCTCCTGGCTCAGCGCTGCCATAATCTGACCGAACCATATGAATGATCTGACCATCTTGCTAAAAACAGAACTGTGACTTGTGCCTAAATCGCCATTATTTTTCTTCTCTAGTGTTACCTTTTCCACATGTACGTGGGAGTGAGAGCAGGAGGTGGCATTGGTGACGAGATTGAAGACCCTGCTGGTGATCCTTATGAAATGTATCGCATTGTCTTTGACATTACCTTTTTCTTCTTTGTCATTGTCATCTTGCTGGCCATCATTCAAGGTATGATTGCCAATTATGTTGAGTATGAACAGGTTTTAATCTAGTTATTTTTGCCTTCTTGCATCTATGACTTAATTGGTTTATGAAGAAGCGTGTGAATTCATTTACTTGTTAATTTAGCAAGAGCTAATTTAGCATCTACTATACCTGAGGCCTTGGCTATATATAAAGCCAAAGACACACCCAGGCACAGTTATAAGCTTCATCCATACAGAGGAACCCCTTCCTTCTGTTCCTCTACTCTGAATTACTTCCTCCTCACTTCTGCTTCTGAGATCTCTCCTGTGGCTAGTCTTGTCCTCTTCATTTTCCTCCCAGAGAGGGAGGGAGGGTAGGAGCAGAAGAGCTGGACAGTGCAGGGGAGGGGAGGGAAAGAATGGTATTTCAGCCAATAGCTTGTCAAGATTGGAGAAAGATGATGAATTTAAGGGAGAAGCAAGTAGCTAACAGCACTGCATAGTGTCGAAAGGTAGAGTTGGGAGGAACGATGTGAAATTGTTAGAAACACGAGTATTATTTTTCTAATTTTGCTTTGAGTGGTTCAGCTTGATAATTCACTTTAACAGAACAAAGTAGCTTCTTCCAATCCCTCTATCATTCCTCTACCCCTGAACCATTGAACCACTCCACAGATTGCTTTGTCTTTGTATGTAAAACTCCAGGTCTTATTATTGATGCTTTCGGAGAGCTAAGAGACCAGCAGGAACAAGTGCGAGAAGATATGGAGGTAATGTTCCTCTAACTACTAATCCCAGCTCTATTTTAATATCCCCAGAAGCAAATGGATTTTTAAAACAATAGGTTTTACTATTACTTAGGGCCAGTACTAAGCAAGACCACAGTTTGTTTTCCATGCCCTGTGCTCTGCCCTCTGCCATACCCCCGCCAGGCCTGCCACTCTGCTGCCTTCTTCACTGTCCCATAATCAGAGGGAGCAGTATCCTCAGCTAACCGGGAGCTAAGTGTGTGGTACCACTGAGTGAATGACTAATAGCCAAAAGCATGAGAAAGTTTTCATTGTCCCTCAATTCGATAGAATCATGACAGTTTTCTCTCCTGCCTATATTATGCCTACAAATGCCTTTTCTGCCTGTTATTTTTCTTAGACCAAATGTTTCATCTGTGGGATTGGCAATGACTACTTTGACACGACCCCTCATGGTTTTGAAACACATACATTACAAGAGCACAACTTAGCCAACTACTTGTGAGTATTCTTGGTTAACAGAACTGATAGGAGTTTGTAGCATAGAGAAAGCCAAGTATGTCATATAGTTCAGTCTCTGCTGGAAAAAGAGTAACCAGAACAGAACTTCCAGGAGTCCCCATGAACCTGTACCTTTGTCCATAGACTCTGCCTCTCCCATGTGTGACAGACGTGTGTTGTGGACAATTCCTGCTCCTAGCAAAAGGCCAGCCCCTCAACCTGTGATTGGATTCCATCCAGGACACATACCTCCAGCAGTTTCTCTTTCTCTACCTGACTTCTTCTATCACCATATAAATACGCTTTTTTAAAATCCTAAACAAAGAAAAATCTGTGGCCCCACTTTTACTTCCAACTATAGCCCTACTTCTTTTTCCCTTTCAGCACAATGGACAGCTGTCCATGCTCATTGTCTTCAGTTTTTCGCTTCTCATTCTCCTGTGAACCTCCTACTGGCAGGCTTTCCTCCCCACCACATCCTAAGACTGAGTCTTATCAAAGGGGCCTGTAACCTGCATGTTTTTAAATTCTGTGGTCAGTTTTCAGGCCTCCTCATGTCTGTTCTTTCTCATTAATAGCTAAGCCCCATGACCTGGGATATTTTGGGGCATGTCTGTTTTCATATTACCTTTTTTTTTTTTTTTTTTGGAGACAGTGTCTTGCTCTGTTGCCCAGGTTGGAGTGTAATCTTGGCTCACTGCATCCCCTGCTTCCTGGGTTTAAGCGATTCTCCTGCCTCAGCCTGCTGAGGAGCTGGGATTACAGGCGCCCGCCATCACACCCAGCTCATTTTTACATTTTTGTAGAGATGGGAGTTTCCCCATGTTGGCCAGGCTGGTCTTTAACTCCTGACCTCAGGTGATCCGCCTGCCTCAGCCTCCCAGTGCTAGGATTACAGGCGTGAGCCACCACGCCCGGCCCTTTCATACTGCTTTATCCCAGCACCTAGAACAATGCCTGGCACCCAGTAGGCAACTAATAAATGTTTTACTTCTTCTAAGGTAAAGCATTCACTGAAGAACAAGTTACCTGAACCTACTGGGTACTAGGGACTTCCTCTAAAACTTAAAATCTTACAGAAGAGTATATAGATTTTATTACCTGATAGCTCAGACCCTGTAACTGATCATTTACAAGAAAAAAAATAAAATCCTGGGCTCTGTTCCCCAGCCTAGCTCTTCCCCCTTCTCTATTTTGTAGCTTAGAGAGTCATCTTTCTTTCCTTTCTCTCTTTCTCTTTCGAGATAGGGTCTCACCCTGTTGCCCAGGCTCAAGTGCAGTGGTGTGATTTTGGCTCACTGCAACATCCACCTCCCAGGCTCAAGCCATCCTCCCGCCTCAGCCTCCTGAGCAGCTGGGACAGACACACCACTCATTTAGCACCAGCTGTTTTTTGGTATTTTTTGGTAGAGATGGGGTTTTGCCATACTCCCCAGGCTGGTCTCGAACTCCTGAGCCAAGCAATCCACCCACCCTGGCCTCCCAGAATGCTGGGATTAGAGCTGAGCCCTCATCTTTCGCAGATTACAGACCAGTGGAAGGATGCTCTCATTTGGGTTGGAACCCCTTCTGTGCCTTCCCAGGGCACTGCTACACTGGTCTCTTTCCTGTCTCTATCCCCTCTAGGAGCAAGCTGGAGGGGAAAGAACCCAACTTATTCATATTTGAGCCTCCCATCCAAAATGGTGCTTTGTCAAGTATATGTGCTGGGCAAGGAATGATGTCCCAAGCCCCTAAGAATCAAACAGGATAAAGAGATTAACCCTGCTTTCTTTCTCGGTAAACAAGAAGGGGAAAGGCAATAAACCTACTTAGAGCTGCTACTGTGGGCCAGGACCTGAAGCTCTAAACACAGTATCACCCTGACAGAACTCCAGATCTGGGGCTCACGCTCTCCACCCTCAGGACAGAATTTCTACTTTCTCATATCGCCAGCCTCGCCATCCTTTTCCTGAAGGGCACGAGCCTGGTTCCTTTGGAAACTGTCTCTGAGATCATGTAATGTGAGCTGAGAGTTCAGCCCCTGCCCCCTGGGATACTTATGTGTCACAGACAAACTCAAACCTAAGACACAGATCACAAAGCAAGTGAAACTCCACTGGCATTCCCCCAGCTATCTATGATACAAACAAAACTAGACTTCAGGAAGAATCAGAGCAACTCAACGAGATTAAATACTTTCTAACTTTTCCATGACAGATACTCTTGAGACACACACATCATTTCAATTCTACATTTTTATGAGATAACAAAATGACAAATGGCCTGTTAAATATTCTGTGGTAAGAATTTGGGCTACCATTTGTTTTATTAGAATTTTGTTAATAAAATGGTGGCCAAAATGCTACCTTGCAAGTGATCTTAGCTTGAGGTTTAGGGATGGCAAAAAGCATCTCTCCTCACGAAGTGGCTAATTTCGAGATTCATGTGTGCTACTATGATGGACACAAGTGATGGTGTGCGTCCTTATGCCACCGTTCCCTGATTCTTCAAGTCACTGTAGACAGCGTGGGACCAAACAGCCTTTCTGAGCCCTGATTACAGTTAATCCATGCGAATGAACTTGGGTCTTGACCAGAGTATCTAATACTATCTTTTTTCCTCGTTCCAGGTTCTTCCTGATGTATTTGATTAATAAAGATGAAACAGAGCACACGGGTCAGGTGAGAAACAAAATGCCTTCAATTAAGAATCATACCCCTGTGTTAGATCTCCCTTTGCTAAACCTTGAGACTGCATAGGGCATAGGGCATAGTCTATCTGAAATAGATAGATGGCCCCATTAATCCCATGTATGCATTTTTCCATTACCTTTTCGTGACTTAGTAAGAAGCCAAGGTCCTCCTGATTATCCTTCCCAACAAACACTGTCATTTTCCAAACGCTTATAGCTACTGCTTCAGACTAGAAGAGCTGGAGGTGGGGAGAACATTACAGAGGAAAAAGACAATGAGGAATGGAGTGGGTGGCTGTAACAAAGCAGAAAAATCGGAGTACAACGGAGTGAGAGAGCCTAAGAAAGATAACGAGCTCATGTGTGGGTGACACAGGAGCCTGGAGGTGTGCATGTGAGAGGATGTGTCAAATTTTGTGACTAAATGTGAAAAAGAAACATAAAGGTAGAGAACAAGGGAGGATAAACGTCAGTTATCAAATTATTCAAATATCAATACCAAACAAACATATCAAATATCTTTCTTTGGCAGAGGTCGCCGGTTTCCAGATCTGGATTTAGCAATAAACTTTCCCTCATGCATTCCTCCGTCTTCCACCAATGGTGTGGAATCAGCTTATTGCTAAATCGTTAAGTAGTTTTAGTGGCACACATTGATTGGTTTCAGTTTTGTTTGGGGCACAAGGGGATTTTTCTGCTTCCCTGCCAGCGTGTGTCAGGGAGACACGGCTTCTTGCTCCCCAAACAGCAGAATAGAGCAAGAATGAATGTGCAGGTTTGGCCTCATATAAATTCACATCAGAGGGTAAAAACAAACTGGGTTTTCGCTTACTGTGGTTTAGAAATAAGCACCCATTGTTCCCATTATTTCAGGAATCTTATGTCTGGAAGATGTACCAAGAAAGGTGCTGGGATTTCTTCCCAGCCGGTGACTGCTTTCGTAAACAGTATGAAGATCAGCTTGGATAAATCTGAATGAAGGAAGCACCACAATTCTGGACAGTCAACTTCCCATGAAATAAAGTCCTCCTTTTACAGTTCTGCAACATATCTGAAATGTGACATTTTCTAAATGCCTCCCTTAAAAAAGCTGTTTGCTAAAAATCTGTGCTATTTTGAAACTGATTTGGCTTTTTGTGCCTAATGGACATATACTGTGGGAGAGAACCTGTCAAAATGTTTAAGAAATGTTAAGGATGGTGAAGAATCAAGTCATCTCTAGGCAAATGCCTTCAAGTTTTTGTTTGTTGGGATGGCAGCATTAGGGAAAGGGCTAGTGAATTATGAAGTCTCGAATGTGTGTAATACCTGAAATTTTAAACACTTGAATGTCACCATGGTATCCAACTTGTGACTCATAGGGTCTGAACTACAAAAGATAATGTTAACTGCAGTCTAATTAATTTTTTCCCATGGTACTTGCTAGTGACTGTATCCAGAAAAGCTTTAAGCAGTTAAAGAAATAGGAAAAAAACCCGACACTTTGTCGACACTGAAATATCGATTAAGTGCCTTAAAACCTCTTTAGATATAGCTATGCAAGTTTTTTATGTTTGTGTTCCAGAAGGACAGTTCCATTCATTAGTTGTGATCTTCTGTCTTACTTTATGAAACTGCACTTGAAGGCTATTCATACAAGTTTTTTTAGTAACAGCGGTCAACTGCTGTTATTAGAAGAAAAGTACTGTACTGAAACTTCAGAAAAAATCTCAACCTTATGCCAAAATGGAGTAATGCTTTATGGTCCTTGTAAGTAGTGGAGCTGCTATGTTGAGGTGAATCTCCTCAAATACAATGAAGTGCCCACTGCAATAAAGTAATACATACCAACATCTCTATGGTTTGGCCTCTTGGAATGTACCACTTCTGGTTGATTCTACAGCTCCTCTGTGACCGCTGGGAAAGGGGACATGAGACAAATTGCCCAGGGCCCCACACAAGAAAGAGAAAAACTGGACAGACCAGCATTTGTTTATTTTGGCCAAATGCAAGCCTTGTTTGTTTGCATCTATTCTCTTAATCAGCAGCAGCACCTGCTATGCTGTAAACACTGCAAGGAAGGAGGCTAGAAACAAGGGCCAGAGTATATATCCCACCCTTGAGGGAATCTATTAGATTACTAAGCCAGAAAAACAAATGCAACAAGCTGCTTCAATGTATTCTTTCAGATGTCAAACACAGAGGTAGGCATTTACTGCTGTGAGCACAATGGAACACACTAGCTTGGGGCATGCTTGTAAACTGGCTGTTCCTGAAGGACAGCCTTATGCCCACCTGCCCTTAGAAGGCAACCAAGATTTGCTTCAGGCACTTTTTTTCCCCATTTTAGGAAATCATGCTGTCCAACCAGTCTTCCAGCTCTTCCTCGGTAACATGTCTGGATGTACTTGGTTGCTCAGGTTCCACGTTCTTTTCTTCAGTCACAGATGGTTTTGCACAAACTGGGGAAATAAAAACAATGTTAACACCCTCAGATGCTTCCCTCAGGTTTGTTCCCAGATAGAATCCAGCCCTAATTATTACTTTCCTTACAACAAGGGGAAACATTCTCGTCATTGTTACTCCCTAAGATGATACAGTCATTTCTGAACAAATAAAGCTGGGTAGAGGTTTCCCTCTTTATTCTGAAGTTGAACTTCACACCTTGCTAGTTGGGTTTTTTTTTTTTTTTTAAAGACCAACAGCTCAGTTTTCTCTTTACTATTATTGCAGCAGTCCTGGAAAATCCAAGGATCTTAAATGCAATACATGGATGTGGCAGTCACCCCGGGCCCCCCTACACCAGATGGGCCACCTCTCACAGGACATGCAGAAATTAGAATGTGACGTTCTTTTGTCAAAATGTAAGATTGAAATAGCAAGAAAAAAGTACGAAGAGGTGGCCTGTCAGTCGAGTAGAAGGTCCACTGCCGAACGGCTGAAGGCTACAGGTATCCCAATGCCTTGTGATAGCGGAAATTCCATTTGCAGCCCCAGGTTTCTACTGCAGTCAGGCACGTAGCAGCTTTGGAAGCTCGGTGCGTCGAGTGAGAGGAAGGTTGTCAGAAAGGTCAGCTCAGGGTGAAGCAGAGATGTGAGCACAGAAATAGATGTCAGTGGACAACACTGGATCAATGTCAGACACCGAGAGGGATGTGTGCGGATGTGATGCGGGTGGGGCTGTTCTTGAAAAAACACCAGAATCAAGATTCATGGGGAATAAAAGGAAAGCCATACCTTCCTCCTCTTGGGCCACCTCCCCATCTTTCTTGGATTTCAGGTCCTGAGATGTCTGATCTGGTAAGATGTTATCTCCCTCTTTTACAGGTGCATCTAAATTAAGCAACAGATCTAGTTCTTCTTCCAAATGGTCTCCTGCTGACTGCAGTGGGGAAGTGGGTTTCTGAGAATCCGTTGAAGGACCCGGTCTTGGGTTGTCTGTGCCCAGCAACAGAGGGCAGCCAGCAGCTGCAGATTTTAGCTCAGAGATGGGCCCCTTTCCTCCAGGCCCCAAAGGCCCCTTTAACTGCATCCCTAGTCCCTTGCCATCATCAGTTCTCTTTGGTTTCACCTGAGGAAGCTCTAAAGGAACTGTGGCCTGAAAGAGAAGTATAAAAACTGAGTTAAAAATGTGAGTCTTGCCATCTTGGCTTAAGTAAATACATAGGAGGCTAAAGGAAGCCATCAAACTTGGTGACACAGGAAACTCAATTTGGATAGTTCACAAAGTGGCCCCTTTCCAGGCCCTGGCGGGCACCCTTCCTAACATCTGGGGTAAATGTGGGAGACCCCACTGAGACATGCCAGCACTGTGCCTCCCACTCTCCCCACCTCGACCACGTGCTAACTAGCTCAGATTTGGAATTAAAAGATCCACGTCTTCCTAGTGCTGGCCTGGAAACTGCCAGAGGACCACAGGGCTATTTGGCTTTAACACTTCAATCTGTAACGAGACATGAACATCTGTAAAATGTCCCCAAGAAGTAATTAGCAAATCAGATCTGTTCATTGTATTTAAGTGCACTAATATAAAGGTACAGGAACAAATTCACCAGGAAGAGTCTCTTACCAACATCCAGTAAAAAATGCCAGACACAAAAGAAAATACACAATTCGATGATTATATTTGTAAAATGTTCAAAAACAAACCACAGTATTAGAGGCCAGGCGAGTGAGTGCCTTTTGGGGAGACAGTGACTTGGAGGGCGTCTGAACGGTGGCTTCTGGGGTGCTGACAATATTCTGAGCATCCGGATGCTCATTCCATGGTTATACTCACATGTGCATTTTTCTGAATCGATGTGATACTTTAATAAAAGTGACAAACTCCCCCGGTGACTGTAATATAAGGTTACGATCTAAGGCTGAGAATGACTGCTTTCGAGGGAAGGCTCCGGGGACTAGCAAGGCCTCACAGGGGCAGGTTCAACCTCCACTGGAGGTCCTGACCCCTTATTTTTACATAAACATCCTGAGCAGACATGGAAGACGGTATGGCTTTATATACAAACAGGAATAAATGTCCAGCATAGTCAGTTGTACGGGGCAATGCTGGGACATGGTCCTCTGTTCTAATCTCAGAGTCATTTAATTGGTCTGGGGTGGGTGTCTGTGTGTTTTTAACTCCCCCGGTGATTCTAATGTGCGGACAAGGTAGAGAATCCTGCGCTGCAGCATGGGTTGGGGAGAAATGTTTTTAAGTGATTTAACCAGGATTTCAAAGTCACGTAATTATTTTATACCTTTACTCTAATGCCTGCCACTGACATTACATCCTTCACTTTCAAACACTCACAACCACCACTTCCTCTCTGTCCTGAGTCCTGAAGCCTTTATCTCAGCCTTTCCCTGGTGAGTTCTGCTAAACATTCCTCCTCCTGTGAGATCAAGCCAAGCACTTCAGAACTTTGAACATCACTGGACATCTCACTAGAGCTCTCCCAAACACCCCCAAATGTTTCCAAAGACCCCCCAGGACATTCCCCCATTAGTGGCAAATGCAGTTTTTTCTAGTTCTCTACCCTGTCCCTAACTGTCCTCCATCCCTGTACTCTGCCTGCTGCCCCAAATGTTAGACTAGTAAATGCACTACAGCAAATGGGTGGGTAACCAATTCATTGCTACGCTCAAGCTTAGCATCACATTCAGCCGCAGAAGGAAGTTGATAACTTCAGTTGCTAGGATTCTATTTAAAATCAGTACGTCCCAGGGTTTCACTTTTTTTTTTTTTTAATTGTGCCAGAATTTTGAAGCTCTTCATGGCATAGTCTTCGGGCCTCCCCGTCTCTTAGTTCATCAATTATCACTTCATCCTGTTATCTCCTGAGTGTGTATGTCTAGCCCTTAATGCTGAACTTTATAGTTCTACATCCAGTTGACTATTATTTCCACTTGGATATCTCAGAGGCACAAACTCATCAAGTCCAAAACTCACCCTTCCTGATCCTGCCTACCACTGAGTTGCACAATTTGGAAAATCTTGAATTTTTTATTGACCACTCTCTCCCAATTTCCAACATATCGCCAAATCCTGTTAATTGTACCTTTGAAATACCTCAGTACATCTCTGCCATCTCCACCATCACTACTGTAGTCCAAGCAACAGTACTACCCACCTGCACCTGTGCAGCAGCCTCCCCATGTGCCTCCCTCACCTGCTCTGCGCGTGTGCACCTGCACATGCAGACTCACCCCCACGCATGCACTCCGTCCCCACAGTCTTCTCTACTCAGCAGCAGCGTCGCTTTTGTTAATGCAGAGCTGAGTGGGTCTTTCTCGTTTAAATTGCAGCTCAAATGTCCTTATGCTTTAGACCTCAGCTCATCTATGACTGCTTCAGGAAAGCCATTCCTAACCACACCACACGAGAAACCGACTTACTCTAAAAACACACTGTACTTCACACGACGTATTACAGTTTGTATATGTTTGTGTGACTATTTGATTAATATTCATCCTTCCCAATAGATGAAGTTCCAGAAAGGCAGGAACCACGTCTGCCTGTTCACCGTGTCCCTAGTGTTGAACACACAGCAGGATGATGCCTAAATATTTTGAGTAAAATAGCCAGACTTTATATTTTACATTTCACTCAATTCCACTACATTTGATCCTTTAAAATGTTTCAAATATAAAATGTAAAAAAGTAACCTCGAAAACGTTTTGGATTCTCCTTTAAACTTTACCTTGATATGAAACCTTCAGTTTTATAAAGGGAAGCTGACACAGACATCCTGCTGAGGGAAGGGTTTCCCTCTTTTTCTCCTCCTGCCCTAATCCACCCGCTTCGAGAGGGCTTCAGGATTTTTACCTGGACCAGTTCAGCAGCAACGTTGAGTCGGAGGGAGAGAGGCAGCTCTTGAAGGGCTCGAACCAATAACTCACTATCCACGTAAAATGCTGAATTCTATATATAGATTAAAAAGAAAATATCAGGTGACAATTAAGTATGACCTTTTGGAAATAAAAGAAGAAACTGTAAATAAATAATCCACTGGAGGTATCTGGCTAGGAATAAGACACATCATACATCACACTTGATGTGTTAAAAGTTTCTGCGTCTCCACATTATGATCAGTAAAACCAAAGCTACCTTCTTGAGCCACAGCTCACACTGTCAGAGCAAATAGGGCAATGATCACCCTCCCATCAAGACTGTCCAGGCCGGGCGCAGTGTCTCATGCCTGGAATCCCAGCCCTTCAGGAGGCCAAGGCAGGTGGATTCACCTGAGGTTAGGAGTTGGAGACCATCCTGGCCAACATGGTGAAACTCTGTCTCTACTAAAAAATGCAAAAAATTAACCGGGCATGGTGGCTGATGCCTGTAATCCCAGCTACTCAGGAGGCTGAGGCAGGAGAATCGCTTGAACCTGGGAGGCAGAGGCTGCAGTGAGCCGAGATCGTGACATTGCACAACAGCCTGAGCAACAAGAGTGAAACTCCAGCTCAAAAAAAAAAAAAAAAGAAGACTGCCCAGTAACCTGGAAACTGTGGAGTCTTCTGCAATGACTAACAAGCTGAAAGAAAAGCAAGCATTTAATGAAATCTAACCTGATCCCTTCACTGAATTCACACTGCTGGCCTTGGACAGAAGAGGAAAGGGCCGTTTAGGCAGTGAGATGGGGCTGACAGGTGGTATGAAGATTTCAAAGGAGCTGGTCTCCTCAAAAAACAAAAAATAAAAACTTTTTTTAAAGCCACTTTGTAAGAAGGCTTTCTTTTGTGGTCACCAGTTTGCCCCATAAAGGTCTGAAGCTGAAGAAAGCCTTAGATAATAAAGTTAGCTGCAGTGAATTGCTTTTAATGCTAAACTGTGAATTTTTAAAATAGGTTTAATTGGAATAATAATAAATCAGCATTTTCTACATGTTTTAAAGTATTCGGTGCATTATTTTTGCCTGGGTAACCCAGCTCCCATGTCAACCTGGTCAACCCTGGCAGCCACTCACAGTTGGGGTAGAGGACCTGGCCTACGACATCCGGCCACAGACAGGAGCAGACAACACCCACTAAGGATGCTGTGGCGGGTGGGGTGTAAAGAGAAAGGAGACATGCCAATGCTGGGAGAGGGGAGCCAGTCCTGACTATAGGACAAAGCCTTTCTGTCCCACTTCTCTGCCATCAGTGTGCACAGGACCCTGTCTGTGTGGTAAGAATCTGCAGGCCTGAAGCTTCCTCTCTGGCCAGGAATCTGAGCTCTGAGTCTCAGTACCTGTATAAAGGCACACTCATTAGTGAGAAAAGAACCTGCTATATACTTCACTTTGCAGCTAAGAAACATAGCCTTTAATCAGACCATTACATCTTCCCCAGAATCTACAGGACTTACTGTCCATATGCGCCTGGGGCCCAGAGACCATACGTACACGGTATGGTGGAATAATAAGCTGGGCAGCTTTTTAAGATATAGGTTCACAGGCCTTACCCACAGAAGTGGACTCTCTGGGTGGGGTGGGGGTGGTGGGAGCCAGGAATCTGCCTTTAAAAGCCAGGCCCTCAGGAACGGTCGCATATAACTCAGCACCTAGCAGTTCGCTCAGCCCCCAGCAGCTGCTCAAAGAAGTCCTACTGGATAAGTCACCATGTCAACAGAAATTTAATCTGGAATTTAAAAACCGAGGTGATTTAAAAAATAAATCTGTTGGTTCACCCAGGGAAATGATCTTCCCACTCATCCCCTCTTTACATGGTGCCCACCCTGTCCAAAGGAGAGCTGTGAGAATCCCACTTGCGGATGTAAGACACCAACACGCCTGTGGTCATGGAGGCCAACAGCTAGATCAGAGCACCCTGACTGCTGGCCTGTGTCCCTTCACCCTGTGTATCCGCCACAGAGCAATGAACGCCAAGTCCAAGCCGTGACACCCGGTCCCTCTCCTGCCAGGACTCCCTTGAGGATTTTGGACATGTCTCCCTGTCAAACTCCCACTCCCTTTAACTGCAAAGACACAGCGTATTTCTACTTTTCCTTTTTTTTTTTTTTTTTTGAGATGGAGTCTCTCTGTTGCCCAGGCTGGAGTGCAGTGGCACGATCTCGGCTCACTGCAATCTCCACCTTGTTGGTTCAAGCAATTCTCCTGCCTCAGCCTCTCAAGTAGCTGCGATTACAGACTTGCACCACTACGCCCAGCTAATTTTTGTATTTTCAGTACAGGCGGGGTTTCACCATGTTGGCCAGGCTGGTCTCAAACTCCTGACCTCAGGGAATCTGCCCACCTCGGCCTCCCATGATCCCTATAATCATGGGATTATAGGCATGAGCCACTGCGCCCGGCCCCTCTCTATTGTCTTGCACCACTGGTCACACTGAGGACATGGGATGGTAAAAGGAACAACAACAAATTACATATATGTGTGTGTGTACATATATATAATATATAATATATAATGCACTCAACATATAGTATCTAATTATATATAGTATGTATTATATATATCCAGTTTTTTCTCTTACATCAACAAGGAAGAAAATTTAGTGAGGAGTTGAGTCAGACAGGAAATTGTTTCGATGGGGAAATGAATTCAGTTTCAGACATGTCCTACCTCCAACTCGAACTGTTCAAAATCAAACTTAACTTCTTTCTGCTCTTACTTTGTTCCATTCATAGCACCACCACCCACCTAGTTACTCAAGCTAGAAAGCATAGTGTCACTGCAAATCTTTCCTGTCCTTGTGTCTCACATCTGGCCAGTGACCACAGTGGACCCCATCCTCCGCTCAAGTCCTGTCTGTGAGTAACCTGTGTCCCACGCCCACTGGCTGCACGCCCTCGGGCTCTCGCTCTTTCCCATTCCGTCCAACACCACATCCTCCTTATCAGTTTCCCCGCCCCTAACCTCTCATCTCACCCGTTCAGTCCCTCCCCATCCTTCCCAATGCGGCTGAAGTTAAATCTAACCATTTCCATATTCTTGCTAAACAAAACTTTGTTAACAAATAATATGAGTAATAAAAGAGCTCATTTTGAGTGTTGCATATGCATCAGGAACTGCACTCAAGGGCTTTTTATTTATTATCTAATTTAATCCTTCTTATTACCTCCATTTTACTGGTGAAGCAACAGAGAAGGAAAAAGTTTACCCAAGTCTTAGATCCAGAATTCACACTCAGGTCTGAGACTGCTGGTACTAATTAGCCCACGCCTGCCACTGAGGCCTCCTCCCCTGGGAACACTACACTCTGGCCACACCCTTCTCTGCGGGTAACCTCGTTTTCCTGATCTTACCCATTTTCATGTTGTTTCCTCGGACAGGACCTACCAGAGTCACGCTTGTCTACCAAGACCCATTCAAATGATCTTTTCCCCACGGTACCAATTCCAATCACTTCCAGTGCAAAGTAACTATCTCTCCGAGTACTGTTAATTCATTTATCGCACCCCTTATTTTAGGTTGTATTCTTGTGCACGTATTAGGTAGATATCTGTTGAGCATCTACCATACTACAGGTCAGCCAGTGTGCCCAGGTAAGGGGCCAAGAGCAATGAACAGGCAGGGTCTGTCTCATTCACTTTGAATAAGCTCCATTTAATAAAAACATTTAGTAAACCAGTGCTCTATGTTCTGATGAAGGACGAAGCTTAGAATTATTTGAAACTCCGAAGCTACTTGAAATATTCTTTGGTAATCAATGTGGTTCAAAAGGAGATGAAATGCAAATTGTTTGGCTTCTACCATATTCCTCAACAATCTATCTTTGCTGTGTCCTAGAATTCTAACAAGTACATCAGGCGTAGACCCAGACTTAGCAAAGACAAATGTAATTCTCACCTTTTTCTATGGCACATATAACACGCTCTTTGTAAAGTGCCAGGCAGTCATTTTCCAAGAGACTCCCCTCCTCATAATCTGTATGAGTCAGAGGCCATCCCAAACAAGTGAGCTTAAAACTGGCCCAGAGATCAAACAAGCCACCCACAGCGCATATGCTGATCTGGGAGCAGAACAGGGAGGACACTGCCTATGGGCTTCGCATCTGCAGCTTCAGCCACCTCTCTGAAGCTGGGGGCAGATGCTAATCAGTTTATCAGACAGTATGCTCTAGCCCTGGAGTTGGGGAGCATATCACAAGCCACCACTATGTCCCTATGTGCATCCTAAAAGGGGGAAAATATCTGTCATCTCTTATATGAAAAGAATTAGTGGAAGCCCGCTTGGAAAATAATCAGAACTCCTTGGGAAGAAAATATTACATACACACAAAGAAAATAAGGCATTTGGGGTTTAGAGACTTGATGAAAGACTTCTACAATATTTGCCTTTATTTTATACTTCTATTCTCCTAATTGTAGAAGTATTATTTAAAGCTATAAGGTTAAGGGTTTTCTCAACCTAACACCAAAAACAGTGAGGGAGAAAACTAATTTCCAACTCTAAAGGGAATCGTCAAGAGTGGCAAAGGAGGAAGACCAAATGGCAAAGTAATCCACTCTGTCAAAATCACAGCTATCGAGTTTCTACCTCGAGACCCAGTCCATGTGTGCCGCATAATTCACACAGGTGGCCAGGTAGAAAAGTGTACTCTCGCTTCAAGGACTTGTGGAATTTCAGCCCCCTGAAAATGTTCTGAAAAGTTTAGCTGAGAGTACACTATATAAAAATTCTACTCTTTTCTACATGAAGACTCTGTCACAAGAATGTAAAAGGTATTAGCCTTCAGCCTTGAAGAAAAGCCAGTCCACACTTAAGACAACTCTTATCTTACCTGTTTTGGACAAGAAGCTTCAGTATCCCATTCTTTCTCCTCAGCAAACCGGAACTGTGAGAAGGAGTCCCCTAGGAACAGGGAAAAAAAAAATTACGCAAAAGCCAAAGGAAACTCTCAGTTCTCTGAATTTCCCTGCTAGAGCAAAAGTGCCATTTCTGAAGTGCTCAAACTCAAAGGGAGAGACAAGGATAAAACTGGAACATACCTCCAACTCCATTTCCAAAATCACAAAACACACAGATGACAACGTTAACATTTGGTAAGATTAATCTTCAGTGCATTTCATCTTACCAAATGGCAAAAGGACCAAGAAAAAAAGATAAAATCACTAATCTTAGTCACTGGTAAATAAATTTGATCCCTCAAAAGTTATGGCATAGGCCGGGTGCAGTGGCTCACACCTGTAATCCCAGCACTTCTGCAGGTGGATCACTTGAGGTCAGGAGTTCAAGACCAGCCTGACCAACATGGTGAAACCTTGTCTCTACCAGAAATACAAAAATTAGGCTGGGCATGGTGGCTCATCCCTGTAATCTCAGCACTGTGGGAGGCCGAGGCGGGTGGATCATGAGGTCAGGAGTTCGAGACCAGCCTGGCCAACATGGTAAAACCCCGTCTCTACTAAAAATACAAAAAATAGCCAGGCATGGTGGCACATGCCTGTAATCCCAAGCTACTCTGGAGGCTGAGGCAGGAGAACTGTTTGAACCTAGGAGGCTGAGGAGCTGAGATTGTGCCACTACACTCCAGCCTGGGCATCAGAGCAAGACTCCATCTCGGGGGAAAAAAAAAAAACAAAATTAGTCAGGGGTGGTAGCGGGCACCTGTGGTCCCAACTACTTAGGATGCCGAGTCAGAAGAATTGCTTGAACCTGGGAGGCGAAGGCTGCAGTGAGCCAGGATTGCACCACTGCACTCCAGCCTGGGTGACAGAGCAAGACTCTGTCTCAAAATAAATAAATAAATAAAACAAAATGGAAGAAAATATCTCATTCATAATAGCAATAACATACAAAAAATTCCTAGGAATGAATCGGGAATAAACATTTATTAAAAGAAACTTTAAAAAATAAAACTTAAAAAGAAAGACAAAAAACTCAACAGTATCAAGATACCAGTTTCACCTAATGAGGTCTACAAATTCAGTATTCAATCCCAAGAAGATTTCATTTGTCAAAACTACTCATTCATTTTTTAGAATATATGAAACTAAGGTATGCTTTTTAAAAAAGGGTAAAGAAGTTGTCTTATTGATTATAAAAATATATTCAAAAGTCTCAATAAATAAAATGGATAGTCACTGGTGAAAAAAATAAGCACAGAAGAGTGTCTAGAAACAGACCCAGGTATGTGGATACTTAGATACCGTAAGAGTGGCAGATGAGATCTGTGGAGAAATCACTTTAACGGTGTTAAAGCAACTGACCAGCCATGTGAGAACTAGGCTAGTTCCCAATATCTCATTTCTCAGATGTAAAACATATTTTGCATGAATCAGGTATTTAAATGTTTAGAAAAAAAGGAAATTATAACAAGAAAGCAGGGATGAATTTATTATTATCTAGAAACGGGAGGGCAAATTTTGGCTGCTGAAAAAATTTTAATACATAAAAATAAAATTTTTTGAATTACAGGAATTATAAACAAACTCGAAAGATGACAGGCTGAGAAGTAATATTTGTAGCACATATTATTGGCAAAGAATATGTGGAAGTTCTTTGCATATTAGATACAAAACTTCCACAAATCAATTAGAATAAAGCAACCCAGTAGGAAAATAGGAAAAGGGGAGAATACGTGAAATATGATTGCTAATATATATGAAGTAAATGACTGATGTATGAATTTAAAATCTAGTAGATTTTTTAAAAACTGGCCAAATTGCTGAATGCTTTATTGAGTGTTGTTTTTGACATTCTTGAACTTCTATATTAGACGTGATCATATGATTTCACAGATTAATATGTAATTGGTACAAGATTCAGTAATGCAAATAAGGTAAGCTATGACACTTATTTTTAATATCTGAATATTCACTTAAAAATATAGGTAAAATTCCAACAATGACTATCTTATTCTACCAGTCTTCTTGCTGAGAATGAGGAACCAGGCACCCCTACCCAAAAAGACCCCAAAAGTCTTATCTGAAGATATCAGAGCTACCAAGGCACTGAGGACTTGGACAAAATTCCTGGAGAGAAGAGAAGCATACAAGGAGGTTAGGCTAACATTTAGGGCTGCTTATCCCCCTAATGCAAGGCTAAAAAACAACCCAGGAGGTCGTAGAGCTGAAGAAAGCTCTGCCAGTCTTACAGCACCAGGTAGACAAAAACTGGAGTTCGGGGCCAATGGATGAGGAAGTCTTGGAAAACCAAGGCTTTCAGGCAGGACCCGCTGATAACTGCATCCTGTAAGGAGGAGTAAAGTAGGCATTGACCAGCCCTCACCAAGTCTGAGGTCCAGCTGTGAGTCGGCTCGATCTCTGATCCTGCCTACAAGCAAAAGTAAATCATTTTTGGAGGAAAATGACACTATCAATATCCTCCAATGATCTCTACAATTTTTAATTTACAATGTCCAAAATTCATTAAAAATGATCAGGCCTACCAAAAGATGAGATCAAAATAGTAGAAAACTAAGAGAAAAGAAAAAAGAAACAAGAGTTAACTGAAAAAGATCCACAGAGATTAAGATATTGGGGACATGAGACATGGATTTTGTAATTTTGCCATGTCAAAATTTCAAGAACAGGAAAAAGTATCACATCATAAACAATGACATCCATGAAGTCATCTTTGATGCACACAAAATAAAATACACATAAAGAATACAAAGAAGAAAATGTTGGAGAAAAATGAGTTACCTAAATATAACACATTTTGTTTTCAGGAATAAAACTTCAAAATATAACACAATTTAAAGAAGGCTTTAAAAAATCCTTACAGATAAAGCATATAGAGGCTTATTTTATTTTAGTAGAGATGGGGTCTCACTCTGTCACCCTGGCTGGAGTGCAGTGGCATGATCAGAGCTCACTGCAGCCTCAAACTCCTAGACTCCAGTGATTTCCGCCATCTCAGCCTCCCAAGTTTCTGGGACTACAGGTGCACACCACCATGCCCAGCAAAATTATTATTTTTTGTAGAGATGGGGTATTGCTATATTGCCCAGGCTGGTCTCAAACTCCTGGCCTCAAACCATCCTACCACCTCAACCTCCCAAAGACCTAGGATTACAGGTATGAGACACTGCATGTGGCCTAGAGGCTAATTTTATTATTATGTTTTAGATAAGGTCTCGCTCTGTCACCCAGACTGGAGTGCAATGGCACAATCACAGCTTATTGCAGCCAGGACCTCTGAGGCTCAACTGGTCTTCCTGGCTAATTTTAAGTAATAAACTTAGTAAAATGACTACTACAGAATACCAACCACTCTGATTCTCGCACTGAAGATGAAAGTGTACAAGCCTGTTGAAACTATGAATCCTAGAACTAAAGGTCTTCCTGGAAAACACATTACCAAAATTCTTCTGTGTTACGTTGTTACATACACACAAAGTATGGTGATTTACCAAATGTGCTACTTTTATATCTTATATACCAGACATTTGGACATGCATGGACAATTAGAAATCTACTTTAAGTAAGACAGCATGGGGTATTCACAGCACATTCCATTCTGCTCCAGCTTTATCTGTCTGCCAGAAGAGTTCCTGGTCTCTCACATGCTAAAGACATGGTGAATCGGACTAAGAAGTACAGAAGAAAACCAGAAAAGAACAGTGACAGCCGACTGTAGTTGACAAGGGAACAAACATGGAGACATGTGTCTTAGGACTCATAAGATTCAACAGCTGTGTGTCCTGAATTAACTGGAGCATAGTGAAAAGAATGGCACTAGAAAGAACTAGGAAGCTCAAAGCAGTGTCTTCCCTCTTCTTCAATTAAAGACTAATTGTATGACTGACAGAAGACTGGAGAATAGACTTGTTGTGTACTTATACGATATCCTCAAACAAGATCAGCTGGTGACTATTACATAGCCTGCTTAAAAAACAATAAAAATCCCATCATATTCTACTACTTTGTAGATAAGAATACCAAAATATTAGGCCCACAAATTCAATGACTGCTTATGATGAAGGCATTTACTGGAATCTGTTTAAAAGGGGGAAGGAGGTAGCAAAACTGATGTACATGAAGAGTTCACATTTTCCTTACGTGATAAAAAGCCTCATCTCATCCTGTTCCAGCAACAATGGTGAAGGTGGCATGCTTGCAATCAAAGCCGAGACACAGGAGATATTGAGACAATTCTGTTGTATTTTGAAAGTCAATTACATTCCTCTATTGCCACATTTCTAGAGCCAAAATTAATAAGAGATTTTTAAATCAAATAATCGTGTGAAGAAGCAAAAATGCTATAAAAAAAATAGAAATAAGGCTGGATGTACAGTGGCTTAAGCCTGTAATCTCAGCACTTTGGGAGGCTGAGGTGGGAGGATCAATTGAGGCCAGGAATTCAAGATAAGCCTGGGCAACAAAATGCGAACTCATCTCTATTTAAAAAAAAAAAAAAAATTACCCAGGCATGGTGGCCCGCGCCTATAGCCTCAGCTACTCTGGAGGCTGAGGTGGGAGATCGCTTGAGCCCAGGAGTTTGGGGCAGCAGTGGAGCTGAGATCATGCCACTGCACTCCAGCTTGAGTGAGAGAACAAGACCAAGACCCTGTTTCAAACAAAAAAAGGAAGAAAATTAGAAATAAATATAAGAGAGAGCAATCTTACATATGCTTCTGCAAACATTCAAAAAGAATGTTTCAAGCAGTATACAATGCTTCAGTTTCTAGGATTGCTTCATGAAACTCATGACCGAGAAACAAATCTCCAAGGGTAGGGGTTGATAAGGAGAGAAAGTCTTTACCTAGTCAGTTACTATTTGAGAAGACAAGCGTAGTTGCTGAAGAACAACATTACCATCATCAGTACTCTATTCTGGCAGAGCCAGCCAAACAACATCTTGTTCCTCTAGACACCTCAGTTAAAAGCTAGCAACTTTAGCATTGC